CCAAGTTCCTGAGACTGGGTCCATGGTCGGAGGGACTGCGTCGCTTTGACTTAAGCGTGTCACAGCTGTTGGGATAGTAGGAGGGTATCTTTTCGTCCACACTGATGATCGACTTCCTCGGTGTCTGGTAGTAGTTCTCCTCCTCCGGCTTCTGCTGGATTGTATTCTGTTTGGGTGTGCCCTTCTGCGGCAAAGCTGGCGCTAGGGGAGATTCGGTGGGAGTGCTGGTGCTTAGTCCAAGGCCAAGCGGCTGTGCCTCCAGCTCTTGTGCGGCCTTGACAGCCAACAGGTTCTCGTACAGATGCTCCGCAAATCCAGCTGCAGCTGCTCCGACAGTACTGTTCAAGGAGCTACCGTGCATGGCCTCGTAAATGGCACTTTCGTCGGGCACTTGCGTCTTGGTTGGCTGATCCTCCGTGTTGCAGCTGCTGGTGGAGGAGCAGTAGGAGCCCGTGGAATAACCAGACGAGGTGGAGACCGTACTGCCGGCTGGCTGCGGTGGCAGTTCCTTCACCGTTGCCTTTAAAATGGGCGCCATCACGCAGTATCCCGTGAGATCTTCCTCCACGATCTTGTTTTTATTTAGCAGACTGCTCTGTGGAACAGCTCCGAGCGATCCGATCAGATTGATGGTGGAAGTGTTGCAAGCGGAAAAGTTGAAATTGTACGGCAGTTGCTGGGATACGTTAAGGCTCTCCAGGGAGTCCGCCGTGCTCAGTTTGCTGGTGATCTGTGCCATAATCTGATTCCGCGAGATCGGTTCAATGGCCGACTCATCCAGACTGATGTTAAGTTCCAGGCTCGATTCGTGGTTCTGTTCTCCGAAATATTCGCCGAAGGTGTCAAGGAAATTCAGCTTGGAGAGGTCTGGACTCGAAAAGCTGTTGCGTTGGGACTTGCTTAACTGCGATGTGCGCTTAGCCGGGAGCACTGGCTCCGGGGTGGGAGCGTTCTCGTAGAGCGGCAGGACCTCCTCCTGGTTGGGCTCGTGCACCAGCTCGCTGGTGCTGCCGGAACGCTTTTGGCGCTGTCCACCAAACAGGCTGTCCAGCATGTTCTTGTACTTCTTCTTCTTGGCCAGCTCCGACTCGGGATTCGTGCTGGAGCGCGGAATCTCGCTTAGCTGGGCGCACTCAAAGGTGTTGATGCGCTGGCGATGTGGATGTGCGGGTAGCGGAGGCGGCGATGGCGTCATCATAACCGATGGCTTCATTTCCTCATAAATGCCCGAAGCGATGGAGACGCGGGAGATGCGGCTGCCGTCGAAGATCTCCTCGTAGATCTGCGAGACGCGCGGCGAGAGAGCGCTTGCGTCTAGGGTCTCAGGCAGATTGGGCAGCGGGCCAAGGGCACCGGGTCCCCTGCTCAGGCGGCGCTGCTCGAGAAATACCTGTCGGTACAGCTCCAGGTTCTTGATCGACTTCCGCATCCATTTCATGTGGCGCCTGCAGGAGGTTTCCGTCTCCAGGGCAAAGTATATGAAGCAGTCGCGACGGTTCTGCGTCCAGAAGAGCCCATAGGAGTGCTGCTTGGTGCGCGATGTGGCCAGGCTGAGGCTGACGCCCGGAACGTTCACAGAGACACTAATGGGCTTGGCGGGATGGAACTCCTGGCCCTCCGTCTCCTGGGCCTGGAAGGTGAGCCGCAGGAAGCAGGGCACACACTTGATGGCCTCGATTTTCACCTGGCAGCGGGTCCACGTCTTGTAGCGGAGCGCCAGTGGGCGCTTGTCGTGTGTATCCAGCTTGACGTCCATGCTCATGGAGATCTCGTTGTGGTCCATCTTGCGGCGACTGGTCCTCGGTGGCGCGGGCGGGGGTGCGGTGGATGTGTTGCGAGTGGAAAATAAAAAAATTTAACGATTTCTTTTCGCTACTTCGGGATTTACATGTTTTCTGCGACTGGGTGGAGCTCTTATCGGCTATTCTCTTATCGCCCGTTTATCCTTCGTGTCCTCGTGACGTGACCGGGGTTGCCACCTGGTGAAAGTATCACAGCAATCGCGATTCTCGTAGAACTAGGTATGGTCGATTTTACAGATTGATTTTTAAATTTTTAACGGTTGTTAGAGTGAACTACTTATACTTAAATAAAAGTACTTTAATGTTCTGGATAAACTCCATTAAAGCCCCGACAACTAACGAATATGTACTTTCTCTTCTGCGACAAGAGCTTGTCTAAATGGGTGTTTATAAGGGGTTTCTTGATTTCCGAGGCATATGTATATTCTTCTATTGTGTCGAATCAACCCTAGATTATCTTCCCAACTACCTCGAATTAAACTACATACATAGGAAAATGTAATTGTGAGGCGAAGAATTTTTTACATTACTGTACTGACATTCAACACATGTGTTTTGTTTAAATTTTGGATGCACTTGTAACCCTTGCAGAGGATATTATGATTTCAGTCATAAGTTTGCAACGCAGTGAAGGAGACGTTTCCGACCCCATAAAGTATATATATTCTTGATCAGCATGCCTAGACAAATCGATCTAGCCATGTCCGTCTGTCCGTCCGTTTCTACGCAAACTAGTCTCTCAGTTTTAAAGCTATCGGGCTGAAACTTTCCCAAGAGTCTTCTTTCTTTTGCAGGTCGGAACCAGCCGGATCGGACAACTATATCTTATAGCTCCCAGAGGAATAATCGGAAAAATTTTTTTAACATGTAAACTCCTACGCTTGGACATTATATTTTTTTATTAGCTCTGAATTTTGAATTTATTTTTATCAAAATCGGACGACTAAATCATATCGCTGCCATAGGAACGATCGGAAACTGGTGGAAAAATAATATGAAACAAATTATAGCTTCGGTGTTTTTTGACATATTATCTTATACTATTGGGAATATCTTTTTTGGAATTTTGAAATTTAATAATTATAACTGCAAGGGTATACAAAATGCTGCTTGCCGAAGTTAACCTCCTTTCTTGTTTTTATTGATGTTATATCCTCGGTAGTTTGGAATCTTTAATCGGCCCTTGAGGGACAAATTGAACAGCCTGATTAACCGGATATCCGCGGAGATTAAGATGCAAACCCCGAACAATAATACACGGGCGGATGGTAATGTGTAAATCGCACAACACCGATAGGTTTCGCTATAGCGAAACTGTTGCGATCTATAGTTCAGAAATGACTGAATCATATGAATCCCAAATTCAAATCCGCTAGCTTAAAGCAGCAAATGTATATTAGTTTATAAATTTAAATCTAAATCTAAACCATTAAAAGTTGGGATGTCATGTGGGTATGATGCAACATTTGCATAATATTCATGACAAAAAAATAAAGTTAAAAGGAACACTAGTGGCACAATCTGGAAGCATATTATTTTTAAATTGTTTATTCTTTGTTTTAGATGGCCCAATGAAAAATTTTAGAAAACCGCAAGTTCTTTAGTGAATGGCCCAGCATGAAACAAAAAAGCAATTCTAAATACAATGTACGAGAAAATGTTTCAAAAGAGGATAGCTACACCGATAGGTAAACGCAGTTAAATGGTATTTCGGGATATATTACAGCTACTAAGTAATAAACAAAACTGTTCTGACTTAAACTTTCGAGAAATGTCGAGTTTGAAGTCGTTATATCATTTTACTTTATTATTAAACATGTCTATTGTACACGTACTATCCAATTCTTGTAGGTAATCTATCAGTAAATTATCTAAATTGATGTATCTAACAATTTTGCTATTGCCTCAAAGTAATATTAACAAGTTTTAAAAATTGGCAGTGGCGGTAACCCGTTCCAAAGGGGCGGCCAAATAATTCTTCCCTCTTTACGGAAGTAAGTAACTTAATATATAAAAAAAAAAAGTTTTAAAAATAGCATGGTTTCGAAATATTGGCGCACTCATGTGACAACACGATAGTCGTGACGCGAAGAACAGAGATGGATTAGTGTGTGATGCAGCCCTTACGAAAACAGTGTTGGACAACAGCACGCGGCATCGGCATTTTTGGCGGCCATTACAACGAGTGGAATAGAGCAGAACGGAGCAGATTAAATTAATGCATAAACAAACGGCTAGCAAATAGCACACGCGCTGTCGCCCGACAACCCAAACACAGAACCCACCGAAACCACAAAGAAACTGCTCCGAAGATGTCCTCGAGCGCTGCCAGGGTCTACATCCAAGTCGAGAGCGAGGCCGAGCAGCAGGAGCACCTTAAACAGCAGCGCAAGACACTAAAGCCCCTGCAGGGCAACGTCAACGACAAGGAGAACCTCACTGGTTCTGGGCGCGCCTCCATCGTGGATCAGCTGAGTCGCCTCAAGGCCGGCGTCCATGTCGCGCCCAAGTACGGCAAGCGCAAGTGCGTGGACACGGCCACCGCTGCGCCGGCGACGTCGACGAGGGACGCGGACACTCAGACCGATGTAGAGGCGGAGGCGGAGGCCACGCCCAGCGGTAGTGCAGACAAGCCCATCACAGCGGAGGATCTCACAAGCGAGGCCGAGCCCGGCGAGAACTACTACAAGCTGCTGGCCGAGCAGCGCCGCTTGGCCTTAGAGGACTCTCTCACCGAGAACCGGCACCTTCACGAGCGCATCGAGGGGCTAGAAGAGGAGATGGACACAATGCGCCAGGAACTGGACGAGGCCAAGAACCTTGTGGAGGTCCTCAAGGAGATCTGCGACGAGGACAACAGCGAGGAGGAGCAGGAAGACGAGGCTGCGGGCGACCAGGAGTAGGTACCCGCTCAGGCTGCACACCAATCACACGTTCTGTTAGTCTAAGGTTGTACAATTAGTTTTAGTTAAATATTTGCCCTTAATTTATCCCTGTACGTCAGCTAACACAACGGACTGGTCTCATTGTACGCCAGCAATATATTTACTTGTTACACGCCAGTTATGATCCTAATAAAGTTTTTACAATTTCTAACACAATTATTTAGTAACTAGTCTTGGGAAATGATCAACATCGAACTGAACTAGAAGAAATGAACCCCAAGTTATTCCCGCCAATGTTGCAAACCAACCACGCTTCGGATTTGGAAGAAGAACTTATATATTTGCTATAACAGTCGCTAGACAGAGTACAAATTTAAACGCTACTTAAGCCAATCGGTTATAATCTCCTCGCTGTGGAAATTATCCACGTCAAACTGTAATATGAAAGAAACAAAATCAGAAAGTCGGGATAATTAAATACTGATAGAAACCCACCTCGACGCACTCCTCGTAGGTGGGAACAGACCCCACAACGTCAACGTCGTTTACCACAGCATTAATATAGGCGGCGTCCGCCTCGGCGGCTGCTATCAGCACCGCAGTCTCGGAGTCATCGGTCTCGACGGTTTGCACTTCTTCAGTTGTGGAGGAGGAATCATCCTGCCGCAAGGCCGCATCCTCCACGACGCCGTGGGCCGACTTCATGTGCAGGCGCAGGGCGAAGAGACGCGCGTACTCAGCACCGCAAGTGCTGCAATAGAACTTTCCAGCTGCCTGGCTTTTTGCAGGCTGTCCGCTCTTAAGGGTCGGCGTACTAGCGCCGGTACTTCCTTTTCTCTTGTCGTCCTTGTGGGTCAGCATGTGATTCTTGACGGCGTACATCGAGGAGAAGGGGCGGTTGCACACGGCGCACTGGTACGGCTTGGTGTGGGTGTTTTTGTGGGCGTACAGCTGTACGGAGGTGCGAAACGACTTGGGGCACGCATCGCAGGCAAACTGCCGCTCCGAACTGTGGATGCGCAGGTGATGGGAGTACACTTGATGCGATTTAAATCTAAAACAATAATTTATCAGTAACTTATGTAAGAGATTCATTTTGTTTTTACCCACCGCTTGTTGCACACCGTGCACACATACGGCCGAATGTTGGTGTGGGTGCGCAGGTGAAGGGTCAGCGAGTAGGACACACGAAATGTCTTGCCGCAGACCTCGCAGGCGTAGGGCTTCTCACCCGTGTGAACCCGTTCGTGCTTGACCTTTTCGAAGGGACGAGTGAACACCCGGTCGCAATACTGGCAGGGAAACCCGGGCTTCTCCTTGTCGACGATACTAGGACGCTGGTTCAGTCTGCTGGAGGTCTCGGTCTCGCGAGGTTTCTCGTGGATTTTCTGGTGCATCTGGTAGGTAACATTGTCTTCGAACTTTCGGTTGCAGATGCTGCACATAATCTCGTTGGTGGTCTGCTGGTGCATCTGTTTGTGTACCGCCAAGAGGTTCTCATCGAAGCTGGGTGGAGAAATGCCGTGATATTGTTCTTCATAATTTGTACCAAATGAACCCACCTCTTGTTGCAGATTTCGCAGTAGAACTGATCCAGCTCGCTGTACTGCTGATGGGCGCCCACGGGAAGGGCGTCCTGAATGCTCTTGGACGCGCGACTGTCGTGGATTCGCATGTGGAACTTTAGGAACTTCTCCGAGCTGAACACGGTGTTGCAGATCCCGCAGGTAATGACGGCGGATGCATCTTTTTGGCCCGCCCTGCCACTAACACTGCTCAACTTTCGGCGGACGGGTGCTTTGGACTCTGCTTTCACCTGCTGGCTGGAACCTGCCCCGGATTCCGCCTGCGGACATACATGCTCCTCGGCACTGCTGCGGCTCTCGAAAATGCTGTGGCAGTCGTAGCAAAAGTAGCGATCCGACTGGCTGGGCACTGCCTCATCCTGCTCGACCCTGCTGTCGCCCGGAACCTCCTCCACCAGCTCCCAGAGCGGCACGTCCGCATCGACGATGTCCTCGTCGTCGACCTCCTCCAAAACGATATCTCCTGCAATCTGGTCCACGAACTCCAATTCTTCCTTTACGCCGCCGCAGGTGCCGGGCTGACCACTGTGATCGCGGGCGTACGCTTCGCTGTCCTCGTAGACGTTGCCGCAGCTCTCGCAGTAGAGAAACTCCTGTCCTCCAGCTCCATTCCCGGAGGAGACTGCATGCTCCACGTGGGCTTCCGGGTAAGTCTCCTCATCCTGGATGAACACTGCAGTTGGTCGTTACTCAACGCTCAAGCCCATGGACACCGTGCACTCACCTGACATGGCATTATTCGTTGCAAGTCAACTTTATTTACTATAAATAATGGGGAGTAGACCATTCACAACAAATGGTTTGTCGATGTCAGAGCGTTGCCACCAGACTCGTTGAATATTTAAGTTTTGACTATGTGGCAGCCCTAGTAGATATTGTTCTTTAAATTATAATATTAAAAGTATTAATCAATATTTATTGTACTCTGGATATCCACATCTAATACTTTACTCTACTTTTTTGGAAGATTTGTTTTGCTTCAAGTTCCTAACTTCTAATCATTTTCCGCATTTAAAAATTTAAACATTTGAATCTGCAGTATCCTCCAGTGTTGTTAAACAACGTGCATAAAACACCTGTTGGGCCACCGGCGACTATTCTGCCGCTCTGGCATCCCACTTTCGCGCCAAATTCAAATCAATAGTTTTAAACACACGCTTTATTGCGCCTAGGTTAGGATAACAATATTATAGATAAAACAATGTGCACTACATACTACTACACGACTCGGGGTCCATGGAAGCAGGAATGATTCGAAGCTCTCACTGACTAAATGGTACGAATATACATCTAAAACGAAACGTTCCGGGGCAAGGCTAGAACAGCAGCGAATACAGTTGACCACCGATACGCTTACACACATTGGAGACCATATAGGCGCCCGCCGAGATGGTGACAAAAAGCGTTAGCCAGCCCAAGAACGTGAACTCCCCGACCCGGGGTCGGATGTGTCGCGACAGGCCCATCCAACCGCCGTTGTCGATTAGCCAGTAGACCAGGTCATCCTCTATGATCTCGGCCAGCCCGTCTATCAGGCACTGTAGGTAATCGAAATGTCCTTGGCGCACGCAGTCGATGGCGAAGCCGCCGCAGACGGCAAAGATTGAGATTATCTTGCCCCAGGTGATGCTTGAGCGGAACAGATCCTTGGCCACCAGGTTGAGCAGCATGGGTGCCATGTCACTGTCCTCTAGCTCCCCGAACGGGGCCCTCGACAGCTGGCGCGATATGTTTGTGTATACCCGGGGGTGCATGCGCTCCAGTTCCTCGCCCATCTGTGAATTAAAGTGGGTTATTCAGTGGGTTATTCTCTGGCGGATTGGGGGCCACTCACGCTGTTCAGGGCCGGAAAGACCTCATAGACCACGTGCGAGGAGCCGGGGTCCAGGATGTTGCGCAGGCGCTGTGTCACCTTCCGGTTGAGGACTCCTGCCCGTCGCAGCCGGGCTCTGATGTACTGGCCGCACAGGCATTTCCCCTGAAATAAAACGACAAAGCCAAAAGTTCAATCAAATTAACTACTGTGCTTTGATCATTGCCAGGCAATTTTGCCCCATCAGCGGGGCACTTAATCAAATCAATATCTGCCCCGAAGTTTCCGGCGAACCTATTTACGTCTTGCGGAATTGGTTTACATCTGAGTTCCGTGGACACCTGGGTATTTTCAATCTCACCTCTTACAGAGTCTCTAAAATTGCAGCCGAACTGGTGCTGAGTGCACATGGCGGTAATAAACAATGAAAGCATTTCTAAACAAAAAGAGGCGATCAGCACGTGCTGTTGGAAATAGTTAAGGCAAGCTATAAGCTTCTGGAATCTGTAAGACGCTTAATGCTTGCCGCAATTAAAAAACCCACTTTCATGTCTCCCCATACAATTCCGATCAATTAGCCATAGCTTCCCCCAATTTATGTCGCACAATTAGTGTTCGTCACGCCAACGACTTGGGGCCCAAGTAAACAGACAATTACCTACTTTGGCGCCAACTTGACTTATGACATGGCCAGCCAAAGAGATCGAATCCATGCCAAATCGCTGGCCTTGCGGTTTTCGGCTGGGGTCTTGACAAGTCCATTGAAGCACTCCGAGCCCGTCCAGCCTCCCAGTGAATTGATCACCTGCCCCCGGGCCGTACCAATAAATCCATCAATTTGTTTACGTGATCTTGTTATGGCGATACACTTGGGCGCCGAACTTTTACCTTTTCGGCAAGTTTGGCCTGACCAAATACCATAAAATTGAGAGTTCGATGAATTCATCACTTAAGGTTTACGTGGGTGTGCTTTGTTTATTTTTGGAATGCTTGTTTATAATTGATTTATTCGTGGCGCCTCTGGGGTTCTTCCCTTTTTGTCCAGGTGCTATTATTTTTGGAAACCTGCAATCAGCAGGATACATACATATTTGGCAATGGCCTCATCTAAATCCTATTTTGATTCCTAAGTTGATAGGCCTAGGCCCTGCAATCTAAGCAAACTTCCGCAATGCGCTTTGTGCAAAAATTCCCCAACAAATTATCAGTCGCGGCAAAGGCAAATATATTAAATAAACACTTTACATTTCGCTCACCTAGAAGAGTCGGGTAAATATTTTACATAGCGAAACGAAGGAGAACGTGCGTGCACTGAAACTTTTTATCAGTCTGTCTCTGAGATAAAAAAAAAATATTTACCTTATCAATTAAATTGTGACAGTAACACCCACGACCCAATTGGTAAATTATATAGATACGGATGGTTCGTCCTCGTTCGCAGCCACCACGTAATTTGGTAATTTTTCAAACATTTTAGCACAGTAAATAAGTATCGAGGTTCCCACTGTTTGCCGATCTGTTGTCTGTTTTGATGTGGTTGTTATTTCAAAACTTGTCCACAAAGTGCGTCAATTTATTTGAACAGCTTTCGCATTCAGTTTGCGCTTATGTTCCTCACTTTTGTGCACTTGCCGAAGACTTTAGTTTGCCTTAAAGCTTAAGAGGCCCCCATTCTTTTGTTCCAATACTAATATTACTAGTTTTAGTTCTTAAGAACATACCCTACAAATTTAATCCTAAAATTCTTTTACACTTAACATACACTTGAAGCTTATTATTTGAAATCGGCTAAGATGTGTATTGTTTCTGTGGCATCCCCGAATAACAATAAATTTCATAAATAGAATGCCATTCTTTGGCGTTGCACTCTAAAACTAAAATGTAACCTGTTATGGTAGACACAAGTTTAGACGTTTATTTCATAATTCGAGACCAAAACGATTTGCCTTTCAGATGATATGGCATATTGTCAGGGGTTAAAATTCTTGCTTATAAATTATTTTTTTTAAAGCTCAAACTGGTAAATGTTCATACAACTAATCATTTTTTTGGAGGGAACAAAAAAAGTAAAATTTCCAGACCCACCCAAAGTTTTATCAATTATCGGTAACATTCAGCAATAATTAAATATTTGTTCAACTGGTTGCCTTCTAGATATAAATATCACCAAACAATCATTTTGTACCTATTCAAAAACAATTTAAGATGAAACAATAAATACTATTTGATAACATTTACTCATTCCTGGTTCAAAAAACACTTGTTAGCTTGGAAATGTGTATGACGAATTTAAGAGGAATAGATAACAGAAACAAGGCAACTTATTAAAATTAAATATGTTTATGTTTACATAATTTAGAAAGTTTTGGAAATTGGAAATTTTGGTTTCCTAGAAAATTTTTCTTTTTTAATAGCTTTTGACGTACACATGAATGTATGCTTATTGCAATTAAAGGCACTAAAAAAAGCAAGCATTCCTGGAATACAATGTATCAAAATTTTAAAAATTCTAAGTCTTAGTCATACTTACTGATGCAAAGCTTAAGGATTTCGAAAATTATGTTACTTAATTTTAATAACCCTTTATTCGTTTTAGGCTGGCTGCCATAAAAACATATGAATCCTTGAGTACAAATCCCAAATGAATACTTTTAAACATTTAAAACATACAGTAAGCATAAGAAAAAGATAAGAAAGCACTTTGTAATTTGAAAAATGTTTTAGATATCAACTCCCTTGTATATTGTTTTTAATTTTCACAAGAAAAGGTCCAACCGAAAATATGTTGTTGATCAAAGAATTAGTTATACCAAGTGAGGTAGACATTTCTTTGTTGTTCCATAAGTATAAATCTAGTTTGTAGGGTCCAAAAACGCTAAATTCAACTCTAGTACTCCAAAGATGCAGTGACCGGTTTTTTCAAATCGGTTTTACTCATTTAAAGACTTTGATAAGGGCTTGATTATTCCGCTAAATTCAATTGTAGTATTCCCAAAATACAGTGACCAGCTCTAACAAATCTGTTTTATTAATTTAAGGACCTTAATGAGTTCTGAATTATTATTCTTCACATCTTAGTTGTCACATTGAAGTCGCACTATAAAGGCCACCTGGTGCTCACCTGGTTGATAATCTCCATCTTGTACTCCTGGTAGTTGGTCATGGTGCGCGTGCTGCTGGCCAGCGAGGATGTGGAGGCGGCCCTGGTCATGGCACCGCCGGCGTGAAGGGATCGTCCGTTGGAGGGATGCGTGCCGGGGCCTCCACCTCCTATACCACCCACTCCCACTCCCCCTCCGCGGAGCGCCTTCCAGTCGCTGGAGGCCGTGGCAATGGTGCCGCGTCGATTCGCCGTGTAGATCTCGTGGTCCAGCGACGAGGACTTGAACTTGGCCAGCTTGGGCGGCGGACTGGTGGTGGGGGCCATGGTCGTTGGCCGAATGCTTGGCTGCCCGCTATTGTTGTTGTTGTTTCTGCTGCTGCTGCTGCTGAGGCCTTTGTTGGCGCTGCCCCATGTGGGTTGTGTAATTTCGAAAGCGCAGCAGCCTCGCGACTTTGCATGCACTATGCACTCAGAAATGGAACGCTTTTGGAGCGGATCAGCGTACGGCGATCACCTCAACGCTACTCGCCTTGCGCTTTTTTGGAGGTGGTCGGGATCGGATTGGGTTCCGATTTAATTCTGATAAAATGGGCAAAACAAAATAAAAAAGTCGGCGACGAATGGGGCGCACAAAGCGGAGAGCAGCAAGCACGAACGAGAGGCACAAAGGAGAAGCACTAAAACTTGTTGCTGGTGCCGCGATCCCAGTTTCGTTTTATTTTATTCCCAGCTCAGCCGCTCTGCTTCGCAGCGCCTTTTCTTTCTTTTTCGACTTGTTGTTTTCTCGCCTCACATCACTTTGAACCTTTAACCGAGAGCGCGAAATGAAATGTTTAGCAAGTGGAAGTGGGGAAAAGGCGATCGATCGCAAGCGCGCGCTTTACTCTCCGTTCTTCGTTCTCGGTTCTCCGGTCCCGTTCTTCCGAGCTTCCCGCGAGCTTCGGTTGTGATTTGTAGGGATGTGAAAAATATATCAAAATATCAGTATTTCGATATTTTTTGAATAAAAATAAATATTTCTTATCGTGAAATTAAAAACGCGAAAAAGTCAGACCAGATTATTTTCATTTTCTACATTTTGCAGCGAATGGTCACACCAGGTGATCTCAAATTGGCTCTCTCCTCTCCTTTCAACAGAAATGTTAAGATACAACAGAGGTTTTCCACGCCGCTGCTCTGCAAATGTTGAAAATGTTGTATCTTAACATTGCTGTTAATGAGTGGCGATCAGCGGTTCGCTGAGCTGGTTCACGCTGGTGGTTCGGCGGAGCGAGCCGGCTTGGAGCCAGAAAAACGGCGATCATTTTATTTAGGGCCAGTTTTGGTCAGCTGTTTATCAGCTGCTCCATACAAACTCCATTTTTAGAAATATCAGCAATCCAACAATCAAATAAAAAAGCAAATATTTAGTTCTTAGCTTGTTAATAATTTTATGCATTAACAAACATGGTCCTAGCTGCTTAAAAATTTAACAGCAACCATTTAGGATCGTTCCCTAAATTGCTGAAATGTTCTATTAAACTTTCAACAATTCAATAATTAAACACTTTAGGGAGTACCCTAAACGTTTAAAAATATCAATCTGAGAAACTACGTTTTCTGATCCATCTATATCTTTTATTGAAATTCAAACTTACCACATCAAACTTTGACCGAAATGAAAAGCACTACAAAGAAGCTCATAAAGAATCAAACAAAGAAATGCTTTTGGTTTTAATTTTATTTATTTTCTTATTATGAGAATAACAATTTTAGAAATAACTTAGATAGAATTTGAAAATCTTTAAATAGACTTTCATGAAAAACCAGTCAAGCTTGAAGTTTTTTACAGTTTCGAAGAGCAAATATTCTAAAGTCTTTAAGCACTTGTCGAAACAAGTTAGTTCCCTTTGGCAGTTTCCATGGCTTAGCTCGCATTCTGACATTCTGACGACTGTAAAACTTGATCTACAAGGAAAGTACCTTAAGCCCATTGCAATTTCAGGTATACGTCTTCAACATTATTGTTGGCCTACCATTACTTTAAGATTTTAAAGTGCAAACTGCGGATGCAGTTTAAAACACTAAAAATGCGGCCCAGTGTAATTTATATAAACGTATCTCGATCGAAATTGAAAGCTTAATCTTTAAAATTATGGAACGATTTCGAACGATTGCTTTCGCAAGTGTCGCTTAAGATCTGTATTATGGAAAAAAGACTGTAACCATTGGGGGCACTGGAATAGGTGTTATCCTGTATGGGTTCGCAAATGTGTCTGAAGATGGTGACTCTCGCTGAAAGCTCTTGGACAGTGGGAGCACTTAAAGAGAAGAACTTCTGAATGCGTGTGTAAGTGCCTTTGAAGATGTAGATTACTGGGAAAGATCTTTGGGCACTTGGAACACTTGTACTGCCCTATTCCTACGTGAGTTTGCAAGTGCTTCTGAAGACTCAAATCCTGCGTAAAAGACTTTTTACAGTGGGGGCACTCGAACAGTCGTTCTGAGTGCGATCGCAAGTGCTTGTCAAGATAAGAACTACTTATAAAAGACTTTAAGCAGTGGGAACACTGAAACGGTTTTTCACCTGTGTGGATTCGCATGTGTGATTGACAACTTAGCTTCCGGGTAAAAGACTTTTCGCAGTAGGGGCACTTAAAACGCGTTTGATTGCGTCTCATTAGTTTTAATGTGTGCGATATCAGGTGTCTCTGAAGACACTGACTCCGTTTGAAAGACATTGAGCAGTCGGTATGGGTACACTTGAACGGTCGTAGTTCAGAATGAATTACTTCATGTCTATTACGACTCGAAACATGTGAAAAACTCGCTGGACACCAGGAACATGGGAACGATTCTCCGGAAGATCCTCCGTGGGCTCGCAAGTGCTTTTGTAAAGCAGGATTTGAGGTAAAAGTCAGTGAACAACGAGAGCACCGTAACTGTTTTTTGTGGGTTTCCATATGTTCCTGAAAACATGATTTGTTAATAAAAGGCATAAAACAATAAGAACACTTGAACAATGGTTCCTTAGTGTGCGTTTTTAGGTGTGTGCTAAGACTGGTTATTTTTTTAAAAGTCTCCTCGCAGTGGGAACACTTGAGCAGTCCTCCAGCGTGAGTGCGCAAATGGTTTCTTAGACTCAAATTCGTTGTATAAGCCTTTGAGCAGTGTGAGCACTGGAACGGACGATATCCTGTGTGGGTTTGCAAGTGATCCTTAAGTTCAGATTTAAGTATAAAAGTCTTTTGGCAAGCATAGCATTTCTTATTACTCTCGCCATGGCGAGACTCATAATATACATCGTCTCCGTCTATTTCTTCTTCATTGTCGATTTCTGTCTCCTCGACTTTAACTTCGTCTACCAATTCCTCAAAGTCGCTGTTTGGACTAAGACGGTTTTCTTCTTCGAACTCATCGACCTCAAGTGGTTCATTCTTAACCTGGAACAGGTTTGTAGGTGGTTCCTCCTCATCCACCACTTCGTCGTTAAATTGGGAATCCTCTTCATTCAGGGTCTCGTTCTTTACCTGACACTGGAACGGCTCTTCATGTGGTTCCTCACTTTCTCTCACATCATCGACCACTTCTTCCTCAAACTGAGGCACTTCTTTTAATAACCCTAATGCATTTTTTGCGTCCTGGAGGCAGGAAGAGCAAATGGTTTCAGGTAACAAATCCCCTCTTGCAATTTTAGAGCCGCTGAACTGAGAAACGATATTCACAATAGATTCGGAATCAAGTGTGCCTTCAAACATATTGATCATATTTCCATTTTCACTTAGGCAAACACGACACGTTGGTGTCTCCATCGCTCTGAAATGAAATAATGACATAGAGCTCCGCTATTTATTATTCTTATTTTCTTACAACCATATTAAAATATTATCACTTCAGATCGTATGGTTTGTTTACTATCTAGTTAGAGATGTAAGAAGTCGAGATTGTTTCGATACTATTGCGTATTTTTCCTACTTCTTTAGTATTTTTCTAATTTTTTGACAGGAAAGGACTGGAGGGTGCATTGACTAATAAAAAATAGGGTTACATATTCGGGTTGGTGTGCTTGCTATGAGATAGACATACAGTGATTAACTTAATTATTGAGTGTTTTTATCCCCTTGCCGAGGTTACTATAATTTTAGTAAGCAGATCTTAACGCAGTGAAGAAAAAGTTTCCAACCCTATTAGGTAGACATACCGCTGTGGGTAAAAATTAAGGTAAACTTGTTGGTAAAATTAAAAATCACAGTTTATTCTTCTATAACCATTTCATTCCCTTTAACACTTAAACGGATGTTATCCTGTGTGCATTTGCAAATGTGTCTGAAGATAGTGAATCTCGCTGAACGCCCTTGGGCAGTGGGAGCACTTAAAGAGATCTTCTGAGTGCGTGTGTATGTGCCTTTTAAGATGTAGATTACTGGGAAACATCTTTGGGCACTGGGAACACTTTTACTGTCCTATGTGAGTTTCCAAGTGTGACTGAAGACTCGAATTTTGGGTGGGATTCCAGGTGGCTCCGAAGATAAGACTTCCTTACAAAAGACATTGAGCACTGAGAGCACTGGAACCGTCGTTTATGATTCGGTTTCTGGGTAAGAGACTTTTCGCAGTGCTTTCGCTTGTGTCGCAGAAGGCTTTCAGAATAAACGAAAGTTTTTGGACATTGGGGACACATTTCCAATCGTTCTCCTGAGTGCGATTTCAGGTGTTTCTGAAGACACTGCCTCCGTTTGAAAGACATTGAGCAGTCGGTATGGGTACACTTGAACGGCCGTAGTTCAGAGTGAATTACTTCGTGTCTAATACGACTTGAATATTGTGAAAATCTCGCTGGACATTGGGAACATTGGAACGATCGACGTTCTCTGTGGGTTCGCAAGTGCTTCTGAAAAACATAGTATAAGGTAAAAGTCATTGAACAATGGGAACACTCGAACTTTCCTTTGTGGGTTTCCATATGCGCCTGAAGACATGACGTGTTAATAAAAGGCATAAAACAGAAGGAGCACTTGAACAATGGTTCACTAGTGTGCGTTTTCAAGTGGGTTCTAAGACTTGATATTTTTTTAAAAGTTTCTTCGCAGTGGGAACACTTGAGCAGTCCTACTGTGTGAGTGCGCAAATGATTTCTTAGACCCAAATTCGTTGTATAAGCCTTTGAGCAGTGTGAGCACTGGAACGCACGATACTTTTCGTGGGTTTGCAAGTGCTCCTTAAGTTCAGATTTAGTTATAAAAGTCTTTAGACAAGCATAGCATTTCATATTACTCTCGCCATAGTGAGTCTCTAGAGTGTGACTCTCGTCCTCTTTTATTTCTTCATCGCCGTATTCTATCTCTTCGATTTTAACTTCGTCTACCAACTCCTCAATGTCGATGCTTGAAATAAGAATGTTTTCTTCCTCGAATTCGTCGTCTTGTAGTGGCTCGTTCTTCACCTGTAAAAGTTTTGTATGTGGTTCCTCCAAATCATCCACCTCTTTGTCCTTAAATTGGTCATTCTGCCGATAGTCAAATATATCTTCATTCAGGGGCCCGTTCTTCACCTGAAACTGGAACGGCTCTTCATGTGGTACCTTATTTTCTTCCACATCATCGACTAATTCTGCCTTTGATTGAGTCCCTTTATGCAGGCAGGAAGTGCAAATGGTTAAGGGAAAAGAATTCCGCCTTTTATTTTTAGAACAGCTGAACTGCGAAATAATATTGACATTGACCAAATTTCCATTTCTACTCAGGCAAACACGACACTTTGGTGACGCCATCGCTCTGCAATTATAAAAAGACATAGAGCTGCGCTTTTAACTATACTTATTTTCTTACGACCGATTTTGTAACATTTAAGCCAACCGTATACAAATATTTTAAAATCATATGAAATGGTTCGTTTTCTTTCTAGTTAGAGATGTAAGAACTCGAGATTGTTTCGATACTATTGCGTATTCTTTTATTTACTATTTTTCTAATTTTCTGACAGGAATAGATTGGTGGGTGCATTGGATAGCTAATAAATGTATATCATTTTTGGTTTTGTGTACTGCTAAGATAAATACAAAGTGATTAAATTAAAAATTGGTACAACAAGCATTTTGATCATGACACTTATTTTGTACGATAGAATAACTAATTGTTTGCCTAAAACGAATTACTTTATTACTTTAGCTCTTATACATAATTTATAAAAAAAAACAAAAAATGGACCAGGTTTCCCGGAACAAAATTATTGGCACACTTGTTATGTAATTACCCATATTGTTTAAACTTAATCGACGTGGTTGTTTTATTTTTCCAAATCAGCTTTGCCTCTATACTTCAATGTAGTTTCTTAAGTACAAAAAAGTGGTATTTAATAGCACTCCAAAAAGTAATGTCCAGAAGCTGTTTTTACCATTCGAAGCCTTTTATGCCACTTTTAAGGAGTCTCACATTGCCAAAATGCAAGGCACGTAAGTAAAAATAATTAAGTGGCCAGGAAGGTAAACAAATCACATAAAAGGATAACGTCAACCCTCAGATCAGTGTGAAAAGCCAATTACTAATACATTCTAGAAAAGTATTAGCAGTACATTAAAGAATATGTAACAGTGCCAAATATCATATGCCTCGGAAATTCTGTTCAATTAAACTTAAACTTCTTATTATTTGCATAGTAGAAAGCAAAACATATCATATCAAAATGTGATTAAAGTGGGCGGTTGCTCGGACGCGTGGAGTTAAAACACTCCAGTCGATCTTGATTAACCAAGGAGCTGTCAAAGCATGCTTATGTTGAATTCGATTTCAGTAAAGTATCGGACGCAATCAATTCCGTTATCACTGCCTGAGAAACATCTATTACTAGGCTTCCTCACTCCCGATGCCTAAGACTATTGCCCATGAATATGTCCACTGCAAACCCCTATTAACACCCCCAGCAAAGAATTTTCCACAGGCTTCACTGCGGCCTGCTACAATGTTGCCCTCGCCAATGTTTTTGTAATTGAATGAAATTAATTATATTCCCGTCTCTGATGATTTTCAATAAATGTTCGTTGTATTGGTGCGGCCAGCTGATAATTAAAAGCTCAAATAGGCTGTTAAACTGAATTGACACAGTGACTCCGGGTAAGGGGGTATAAATCTCCGCCGAATCTGTATTGATAGTGCTATCAGTTCGCTATTTGGGATCGGTTCCTACGTCTTCCAGCAGCCAGAGCCAGATGTTCATGGCTTACAGTCACAATCCTTAAGCTTAAACAATCTAAAGGTTCATATGTATTACTTCGTATATATATTGTTATTATTTATCAGTCAAGGTACCATTACTAGTTAACAATTAATTAATTTTCAATATGTGATATCTTTCCATGATACATTTCGATTTTCCTGTATTTTATAGGTATACAGATTAGAATATACAATCAGTAAGCTCATAGTGTCTATAAGGTAAATATAATTTAAATTGAAATTCAAAAACTTTTCCGTTTAACGACTGATTTCTTATACCACGGCCTTAGAACTATAACTAAATCTGGAACCTTTAAGTGAATTTGCTGGGTTAAGATACTTTAAGTTGGTGAGGTCTTACTGTAATTCCGATCTGTTGGCGGCGGGTTCCAGACGCTTACAGAACGCCAGCGCCAGCGTCGCTGTTATGTCACTGGCAATCGCAAATGATAAGACGGTAGCGGTGGATGAAGCCGCCTTGCGAAGTCCCCTTTCCCCGAAAAGCTACTCATGCCCATGTATTCCTTATACTACCATGTGGGAATCAACTTATCAGTTGCACCGAGCTCGTAAACAATCTAGTATACTCGAGTGTAGCGCACATCGAGACGGCTTCCCGGGTCTATAATATCTGTGGGAGCTCGAGCCCTCGGTTAGTCGTTGGTCAGTCGCAGAGGCGAAGCGACGTGTTACTCAAAAGACAAAGACAAGCCACTTCGAAAACACGCTACCATTTAGGAATATCCAAACATGATGAAAACTCCATTGGACCAAAAGCGTCGCGTTTGCGTAATAGGAGGTAATGTCCAAATCTGGTCAGTAAAGGTGCATATCTGACTTTATATCTCAGCCGGAACAGCGGGTCTGTGCGCCCTGAAGAACTCCCTGGAAGCGGGTCTTGATGCGGTGGCCTATGAGCGGGGTACCGAAATCGGAGGAACCTGGATTTTCTCCGAGGAAATGCCGAAAGACGAGTACGACGAGGTGCACAGCAGCATGTACGAGGGATTACGGTAGGTGATCTAGTTATGAATATATATAGGGAAGCTGTCTAATTTATGACTTTTTGGTTTTAGCACAAATCTGCCCAAGGAGGTCATGGGCTATCCGGACTACTCATACCCCGCCGACATCGACGAATCCTTTATCACCTCCAACCAGGTGCTGGAATTCCTCCGCTCTTATGCGGAACACTTTAAGCTAAAGCCCCATATCAAGCTCCAGCACGAAGTGATAAGAGTGCGTCCTCGCTTGGACGACTGGGAGGTTGGTAGCGACGTCACGTATTTTCGAACCAGTTTTTTGGTGTCTCAATCACAGCGACTTATTATTATTCCCCGCTCATACGGATCTTGATCTTACATTGCGACTGATGAAATACTGATTGACATTACGGGGGCTTTCCTCCGATCATTTGCAGGTCTATGTGTGGGACCACAGCACGGATACCTGCGATCCAGTCTACTACGACTTTGTGTATGTCTGTAATGGACACTACACGGAACCGGACATACCGAGTGTCGAGGGAATGGACCTATTCGAGGGCAAGAAGATGCACAGCCACCTGTACCGCAAGGCAGATAAGTTTAAGGGTGAGATAAGGTGGCCTGTGGCCTGTATCTTGTTTGTATGTCTGCCAAAACCAAAGCTCTGGACTTGGCAACCATAGCCGTCTGGCCAGAGTCCCACTTCTGTTATTCCCCATAAATAATTGGAGCACCCTCGAGAGCAGATAATATTGTTGACGGCCGAGTGACATAATAATATCAAGTGTGAGGGTCTGTGCCAATTTTAAGCGCCCGTTCCACGTGCTTTTGTAGTGATAGCGAAAAATATACCTCGCAAACCCAATATTTGTTTATCAAACAGGATCTAATCTTTAGATTCCTATGTTCAATATATAATTCCTTAATGCTGAACATAATTTACCATATTTAAAAGATAAGCTTGGGGCATTCGAAAGTATCACTCATACGCACTGTTGCCTTTGATAAAAAATTGATTTTAATCTACACAAGTGGAATAGATTTCAATGGAATGGAAAGGAAATGGATGAATTGATATGATATGATATTTTTCTACTATTTATATGTATTTATATTTTTCTAAGTAAACTATAATCTTATTTATGGGACTTATCTTTCAGACCAGCGTGTTCTGATCATTGGCGCCGGTCCCAGCGGAATGGACATCACCAACCATGTTCGCATGTCCGCCAAGCAAGTGTTCCTTAGCCACCACCTGTCCACTACTCCCAACACAGCTTTTATGGGCAATGTCACACAGAAACCGGACGTGCAGCGTTTCACCCCGGACGGAGCCGTCTTCACGGACGGCAGCACGGAAAGCTTCGACCATGTGCTGTTCTGCACCGGCTACAAGTACACATTCCCCTGTCTCAGCACCGATGTGGGCATCCAGGTGATAGACAACTTCGTCCAGCCACTGTGGAAGCACTGCATCAACATCAACCACCCGACCATGGCATTTGTGGGGCTGCCCTTCAACGTGATCCCCACCCACATTTTCGACATGCAGGTGCGCTTCACGCTGAAGTTCTTCACGGGCCAGCGGGAGTTCCCCTCAAGGGAGCAGATGATCGCCGAGCTGGAGCAGGAGATCGGAGAGCGATGGGGCTGCGGCGTCCACAACCACAAGAAGGCACATCAGATGGGCGAGCGACAGGTAAATATTAAGTTGTTTAACACCTCTTTTTTAATATCCGGTACTTGTATGAAAATATATTCAAGAAGAAATAATCGTATCAAAAGTTTTAAGAAAATGTATGTCAAATATCCAGAAGAACTGTTTAAAAAAATCCTAAAAAGATCAACAAAACTAGCCTGGTAAATTCTTTAACATTTTTAGTAAGGACTTATATAGCTGCTCTACATTTATAATTTATTACAAATACATAATTTTCGAAGTGCTGAAATAAAGTTTACAGGCAGAGAGTACCGGATAGATCACTCATCGTATCTCATGCTTTAATAATGATCTGTTCTTCTAGTTTGTTTACTACAATGAACTGGCGAATCTCGCGGGCATCGAAAACATCAAGCCGGTCATTCACAAGTTGATGAAGGACTGCGGCAAGAAATACATTTTTGAATTGGACACGTATAGAAGCAATCGCTACACCATCGTGGACGACGAAAATTTTTTGAAGAATGGAAAAGCTACCTCCTAATAATACTATTTTCGTCCTTTTTTGTACCATATGTTAGTCTCTAAGAATGGTTTCTTTGTATGACCTGATTCGAACACCTTCGAAAATACTTCAATTTGATATTAAAACCCAGCTTGTGCCTGTGACGATAAAATTTAAATATACATTTTGTATGTAATCGAAAAAAATTGTAAAACATACCCAAAAAAGTCTTTACTAAGATTCTGATACTCTCGTCAACTTGCAAAGCGGTGAATTGAATAGCGTATCCATTGGATATTGGCATTGCGTCCCTACAAAAATTGTTCTATCAGTTTTAAAACATTCACAACATTTATTCGAAGCTCGAGACACAATAGCAATTTCCCGACTATGGCTATACTTTCATTTAGACAAATAAGGTATGTTTTCTCACATTTTATAGTGTCGTTATTACAGGTCAGTTTAATTATTTATTTTGATGGTTAGCAGTATCGGCTACTGGCTCAGCTCGTACATGATGTGGGAGAGCACTCCGCTGGCCTCCACATTGCTTAAGGCCACATTGGCCAGGTGGGGCTCATAGCGCTTCAGGGTTCGCT